GAGCTATTTGCCATTTCATCCAGTGGCTTCAACTGACTTTGCCTTTTGGTTTCTTTCTTCTCCAGCTGTGACTCCCTGTCTTCTGTCTGCTAAGCAGGGCTGAGATGCAAGCTGTCCAGGACAGCCAAAACTATGTGTAAAGTGAGAGTAAACAGGCCCCGAGAGAGCCCACTGGGGCTCCCAGAAGCAACACAAATAAGCTTCCATACACAGCCTTCATGGACTCTGTTCTGACTCCTCTCTCTTCTTCCTGGTTTCTCCTTGGTTTGTGGCTGAGCCCTGGGTGGGTGAAGCTGTGAGATGCACCAGGCTTCCACTCAGCATGAAGACATATCGGTGTTCTCAGACACGAGTTCCCGAAAAGTGGGACAAGCTCTCCCACTCCTGTCACAAACCCTTCTTCCCAGCACAGCCAAACTCAGCTTCGGAGGAGTTAAATCTTCCATCCCACCCCTTAAGAGCTCACGCTGTCACGCAGACCTTGGTGTCTGCTGGGAGGCTCAAAATGCAGAAGACTCTCAATGAGCGCTTTCTAAATGAACACATGAGTGCAAGAATAAGTGAAAACGGCAAGTTACCGCTTCCCGGGCACTGACACTGAGTTCTGGGGACAAAAGTCATTGCCCACACCAGTTGCCAGGCTCATGAGAAACCCATCCACATGCATGTGGTCAACCCATATGAAAAGAGTCACTGTGGACACATACCCACAGGAAGTGATTATGGCACACACACGTCCCTGTGCCCCGCTCGGTCAATGCCAAGTACGTGGTTCTGAAACATACAGCCCCAAGGACACTACAGATGAATTCTTGTAGGGCCAGGGGTCACGAGGCAAGTGACGTGAGTCATTCAAGTGCAGAATGAGTTCCGGTGTTTATTTAAAGTTTCGATATTTTTATCACCGATTTTTTTTGCATTAATTTTGATTTTGTTAAAATATTATTTATCTTGGTTTCTGACTTTTTTGGGGGGACATCCCTTCAATTTTGCATCTGAGGCTAGTGCCTCAGTTGCCCCACCCTGGCCCAAAGCATTGACACACTTTCTGCCTGCACACCTTCAGCAGAGCCATGCGGACACACGCAATCTCTGCACAAACCTCATTTTACCACTAGGTGTCACCCCAGCTCTTTCATCTTGAGGCCGGGTTTGACCCCACCCCACCCCACCCCCACCGCTTCCCTAGGAAGAAAATGTCCCATTCACTTATCTGAGTGTCCTCAAGACTTCCTTTTACTTCCCTCCACCTGATTTCTCCAAAGGAGAACAGGATGTTAACCCCAAATAGTGGTGCCCTATAATGGAATTGAGGCACAGATGAGGAAGATGGGTTTTCCTGATGCCTCCAATCCAAGAGCGGAGGTTGACTTGAAATGGGTAGGGGATGGCCCAAGGGGACAGCTGTTCCTTCACTCCTCCTTTGGTACAAGAGTCCCACTGTTTGAGAAAGAAAGAGACTCTGTGGGAGGAGGAGGGAGATTCATCCATTCATTAAAGTTTTTATTTTAACAGATGCTTGTTGAGCTCCTACTGGGTGCCTGGCTCTGTTGCAGGCACCGGAGATACAACAAAGTCCACTGGACCCTGATGAGCTGCCACTCTAGGGGGAGACAGACAAATGAATAAACAAATTGTGGAGAAGGAGTGACAGGCTATGAAGAAAAATAACAGAGTAAGAGCTCAGAGAGTGGCCGTAGGGAGGTCATTTTAGATGGTTGGTCAGGGTGGGTCTCTTAGAGGAGGCGTCACTGAAGTAGAAGGAGGGAACAGTGTCCCAGGCAGAGGAAATGGCAAGTGCAAAGGCCCTGGGGTGTGCAGTACAAATTGAACTACTCCTCCCCGCCCATCCTGTGAGACCCCAGGGAAGAGATGACTTCAAATCCAGAGAGTGGCCGGTCCAGATCTATAGCTAGATCTTAGGGAGGACTTCCCAGTAGTCAGGAAGTGGGCATCTTTCCCACCGGGAAAGCTATCTGGTAGTCTCCAAGGCATTCACAGGCCAGACCCAGAACATCTGATACAGACCCTGGCTGGATGGGTGGATGGATGACTCCTCTGACAGGCGCTACTCCCTGTTCTCAGAGTCAAATCCAAACTCCTGTCTATAGCCCACACGTTCTCACTTGGTCCGGCCCCTCCTGTCTTCCCTGGCCTCATCTCCCAGCAACCTCCCCTCCCCTCACTCCTCTCCAGACACACCAGTCTCCTTGTCGCTCCTCAAACATACCAAGATGTTCTCACCCCAGGGCCTTTGCACTTGCTATTCCCTCTGCCTTGAATGGTCTTCCCCTGGATCCTCGGAAGGCATCTTCTCTGACCTCCTTCAGGGGTCACCTCAAATACCACCTCCTTAGAGACACCATCTCTGACCACAACCATTAAAATGGCCGCCCACGCCACCACTATCCCTCTTTAATCCCGTTTTTTAGTCTTCATGCCACTTGCATTGTATTATATATTCATTTTGTTGTTGACACTGTATTACATATTTATTCAGTTCTTGCCTGTCTCTCGCACCAGAGAATCAGCTCCAGGAGGGCAGGGATTTGATAACTTGATTCATGGCTGTCTCCCCAGTGCTTAATCGCATCTGTTGATCGAATGGACAAATGAAGGATTTCTAGCAAGGACCCCTGGTGGAGCCCAGGACCCATCAGGGACTGAGAAGGGGGCTCTAGGGAAGGAATGGGGGGTGGACAGGGAAAAGAGCATTCACTTTTCAGAGCCTTTCCTTCTCTGGGGCGCCAGGCTGGGTGGATGGCTAGGGGCTGAGACCAGTTTATGACGTGTAGTGCCCACGTTGGCCGCCTGGAGGCACTGCAGCTAGTTGCAGGACCCCACCAGCCCCAACAGATTACCCCAGTTTAGCCCCGCCCCATCCACCGTTTAGCCCCGCCTTCCCAACCCAGCTTAGTCCCGCCCCCAAGCCGTCCAGCTTGGCCCCGCCCCCAAGCAACTCCCTCTGCATCCAGGGGTCTGTAAATTCACCCCCAAAAGCACCTTTCACTGCACTCTCCTGCACCACTAGCCAATCTTGGCAACAGGTCAAGAAATCTAGACTTTCCCAGAGGCTAGCAGGGGTGGAGGAGAATCCCGAGGTGGTGATTCCCAAGGGTCCTTCCTGGAAACCAAATTCACCTTCACTCCTGGTTCATTTTTTGCCAGCGTTCTCTCAACCTTCTGCCTCTTTTGGTCTCTCTTTACTTCTCTCTGGCTGACATCTCAATTGAGCATCTACTGTGAGCGGCCTGATGCCAAGCACTGATCACACTTCCCTTCCCAGCCAGGATGTGGGTCCTGAGATGGGAAACCAAGAAGTGAGGGATGGGACCCCACGACCACTCCCTATGGCCTTGGAGATCCTATTGAAAGTCTGACCTCCAGCCCTCCCATCGCCCCCTGGGGTGGGCATAAGGGTCTGATTCCTTTCTTCTCTTGACCAGGAAAGAGAAGGTGCCAGGACTGTTTTTCCTCTGAGCTTCTACCTAAAAAACTCTTCGAGTTTCTGCACAGGCACTGTCCACACCCATGGAGTGGATGATTTAACAAGAAGGTAAATGTGTGGGCTCAGGCACTGGACTGCCTTTGTTCAATCCCACCTTTGCCACTCCTGAGCTGTCTCAGCTTGACAAATGACTTAACTTTTCTGTGCCTCCCTTTCTTCCTCTGCAAAATGAAGGTAACAATAACGCCCACTAGTAGGTGTCAGGGGGGTTAAATGCCTTCTTTCATGTTGGGTGCTCGAAACAGTGCCCAGCACATAATAAGTACTTAATAAAAGTTAGCTGTATTATAATTATTATTTTAGATTCCAGCTTCCCTCTAAGCTCCTACAGATCTGAGAACTTGAGGGGCCTCCCGCCTCCAAGATGGAGGAGGAAAGAGGTTTCCCAACAGCTGAAGAAAACTGGGACACCCCACCCCCATTTTGCAAGGTCCCCCAAGCCTGCCCAAGAGATGGGGGTACTATGAGGAGGACTTTTTTCTGTGAAAGCATGAATGGGGCGCACAAGGCACCAACACACACATACACACACAGAGATGCCTGGATGTACACGTTTGCACACACAGCTCCTGCTCTTCACCCTCCCTTTTAGGGTGATTTACTCAAAGGCACAGAATAGCACACGGTCACCCCAAATTCTCACACAGCCATACACCTGGTCACACACATCTTGTACAACACCCAGGCAGATGAAGAGAATCGTGGGGACACCCAGAGATCTTTATACACGGACCTTTACACACAGCTTCAGTTGCCCAAATACCGCCAGGATTAACACAATCCTCACTCGCTGTCACACCACTAGTCACACAGACACACAACTCCAGGGGGCAGTCTCACAAGCCTCCCACTATCACATCAACCCTCCAGCCACAGCCTCCCACTGTCACACACAGACTCTCTCTCCCTCACGCACAAACACCCTCTCCCATCACACCCCAACTCATGCACAGCCAGACACACAAACTCTCAGTCACACCCAGCCGTGACACACACACATTTACCCAGCACCCCTCCCCAGCACCTCACACACGTCCCCATCAGTCACTCACACGTGAGTCCCGCCCCCTTCCCCACACTGGGGGTGCAGGTGAGGAGCGGGGGGGGGTGGCTGCAAAATTTGGGCATCTCCTGCCATAATGGGGGGAATGAAGGGTCAGCAACACCCCAAGGCGCCCTGAAGTTGCCCCCGCAACCCCACTCAGCTTCAGTGAGATGGCGGGTGTGGGCTCCGGGTTACCGAGAGGTTGAGAACCCCGAAGCTGGGGTCAGACTGTCCCCCAAACCATCTCATCTCGGGGCTGGATGTGAAGCCCCCTTTTCCTTTCCCCAAAGCCAGGGTGGACATCCCAGCCCCTCCCCCACTGCGACCCCCGCCCCTCTCAGCCCCGGGGGACTTATGGAACCCCAAATGGCGTTTCTGTCGGGACCCTCTAAGACCCTCTCCCCTCCTGGAGCCCCTTGCGCCTGCACCTGCCCGCCGGGCCCCTACCTGTCCGGCGAGGCCTGAACACAGCAGCAGCAGCGGCAGCGGCGGCGGGACCGTGAGCGACCACATGACGCGCCCCCGGCCCGGCGTCCCGTCCCCCCGCCCGCCCTAGCGGCGCCTGGACGCGGGGACCGCCACCTTGCGCGACCCCGCCCGCCCGGCTGGGGCGACCCTCGCCGCCGCCTCCCCCGCCTCGCAGGCGGCTGGGATTCCGCCCCAGCCCCGCCCCCGTCGCGCGCTCCCAGTCTTTGTTGCGGGCTCCGCCCCCCGCCCCGCCCCCAGCTCGTCTGCGGGCGCAGAGCCGGCTTGGGTCTGGGGGCGGGGAAGGGGGAGGCGCTGGCACTGGGGAGGCGAGCTGGGGACAAGGCCCGGCAGTCCCCTAGGCCCTTTGGGGGTGGAGGCGGGTCACGGAGATGGGGGAGGGGGTTCCGTCACGTGTTGGTGAATTTCACCCTTCCAGTACCTTTCCCACGTTGAAAATGGGGGTGGGATGGGGGTCAAGGGGCAGGGGGGTAGGAGGAAGACCTGGTAACGAAGAAGAGAAATTGAGAGGCCCCCTCCTAAAAGAACTCGAGAATCAACAGAGAAACTGAGGCAGAGCTTGTGAAATGGGACGTTGAGGGGAGGGGGTCACTGCCGGGACGAGGGGGTGGGACAGAGATGGAGCGAGGAGCGAGAGACCATTGACCGAGGCGGATGGCCAGCTGGGTGCGCCTGGCCCCAAAGGGGACACCTGTCTTCTCTCTCCCTCTCCCACCCACCTCTGGGCCCCTCTTCCTCAAAGTCCGCCCTCCCCCGCCACACCTGAGACAGTTTCTCGCTCCCGTTGACCCAAGACGGGAAACCAGATCCCGAGAGGATCAAAATATTTAACAAGGCCTCCAACGAGAATCCATCTGCATATGAAGGGCGTCCTTGTTCGGCCTCCAGCCTCTCTGCTTCTCCCTCCTCCCCGCAGGCGTCTTCCCCGCCCATAAGCCCTCAGTGGCTTTTTGAGGTGGGGAGAGCAAGCCAGTCAGGGTTACAGAGGAATCAGCCAAAACGTACCGACAGGGGGGTGGAAGGAGGGCTGGCATTTTCCTGACCCTACTGTATGCCAGGCAGATAACAGGTTACGGAGGGTTTTGTCCAAGCAAGAAAAAAGCTTGTTGTCCAATAGAACTGGGTTTGACCCTGGTTCTGTCACTTCTTGGCCGTGCAACTTGAGGCAAAGAACTTTCCCTCTCTCAGGAGACCTGTTTCCTCATGGAGGTGTGGGGAGACAGCTGTGACTCTTGAGCAAATAGAGCACCCAACCAGCTCTCAGTCCCCAGAGAGCATTACCAGTGAGGCGTGGAGTTGAAAAGACTTGCCATGGGATGTGGGACACAGAACAGAATCGGAACCAGGGAAGGCATCTCATCCCTCCCTCTACCTCCTCTCCCCAAATGGAGGATGTTCCTTTGCTGACTCCTCTGACCCAGCCTGCAGTAGGTGTAGAGTAGGAAGGGTTGTTATGTTGGTTGGTATGAACCAGAAGCTTTTGACCAAGTGTGGGCTGTGGTCAACACTGAGAGCAGGGGGTCCCTGCCAACTCTCACCATGTCAGTTTATCACAGTGTGGTGCCCTTATTAGAGCTGTGTTTCAGGACCATGAACAATACCCTCTGTGCTCTGAGATGGTCAAGCATGGCCTGTGTTATGTGGTTGACATAGGTCAATGTGCCCTTAGGTCCATTTCCCATCCTTCCCCAGCTCTGCTCTGTTTCAGGGGTGGGGCCCCTGAAAACTACATTTCCCAGGCTCCCTTGCATCCGGCTAGACTCAGCCAATGGGAGGCCTGAGGAGAGGTTGGGGTGGGGAGCGGGGAGAAGCCAGAGTGTTTCTCCCTCTCTCTCCACCTTGGGCATCTCTGGCAGGCACAGTTGTGTCTCCTCTGTGGTCTCAGCCCCCCTGGGATGGGAGTCCCCACTGTGGTTCAGCTCCTGCCCGGTGGTAGCAGGCTCTGGACTCTGGTAACTTCTTCCTTCAGCTACATCAGCTCTTGGGAAGATGGTGGTTGGCTACTCACTCTAGAGTCAATTCACCTCCCATTTATTCTTAAAGCTCAACTAACATCTCTGGGGCCAAATCCCCATATGAAACTTTGCTATGAGCTTTGTTTTCCTGACTGGACCCTGGCCAATACATTCTACGCTGTGGTCATGACCACAGCCGTGGTCAGTAGCAATCTGTGTCCCGATGATGCTGTGGTCAGTGTCCTATGGACCTGGGATCTGTGCTGCCATCAGGATCCTGGTTCTACTGGGGTCAGCAGAGTGGTCAGTCATCCCCCGGGTCATTCCTGGTTGTACTGTGGTCAGTGTGTTGGTCAGTTTCCTGGGGCTGTAATGTGCTCAGAGCCACAGTCACTGTCCTGTCATGCTGTAGTCATTACTCTGACCTTGTTTTGGACAGTGACCTGGCCGTGCTATGGCCAAAATTATGGTCAGGTCACACACCGTGATCGGGGTCATACTCAGTGTCCTGGTTGTGCTGTTGTCAGCTTCAAGGTCAGCACCATCATCAGCGCTGTGATGAGCACAAGTCTCCCTTGCTCTGTGGTTAGTGTAGTGGTCAGAATTGTGGACCATCACTGAAGAGAGATCAGCTTCTCAAGGACCTCGTGCAGCGAAACTGATGGACCAGGTGACTCAGGGGCTGGCGCTGGGCAAAGTCTGCTGTCCACAATGTCTGGAGGCAGGGCAGAGGAACATTAGGTCCCTGCCAACTCTCACCAGCTCACCATTGGCTTTTACTAATTGGTGCTTGGGCAGCCCTTGGCTTTACTCTTCTGTGACCCCTTCCTGTGTCTAGCCAGAGGAAAACACATCCAGGCCTTTGTTTTCCCATACTCTGCACGGGGCCCAACGCAGAGATGACCAAAAGGAATTTAATGAGTGAATGAATCTGTGCCATGCATGTCTACACATTCCTTTGCTCTTGCAGATCCCTGTATGTATTATTCAGAGGTCCTTTGGTAGCAAGTGGCAGAAAAGAAACTAGAACTGTCTTAACAAAAAAAAGAATATCAGCTCACGTAACTGAAAAAAAATCCAGGGGTAACTGACTTCAGGCATGGCTGGATCCAGGGGTCCTGTTTTTTTTTTTTCTTTTTTTAATCTTAGATTTTATTTATTTATTTGAGAGAGAGAATGAGAGAGAGAGAGCACATGAGAGGGGGGAGGGTCAGAGGGAGAAGCAGACTCCCTGCCGAGCAGGGAGCCCGATGCGGGACTCGATTCCGGAACTCCAGGATCATGACCTGAGCCGAAGGCAGACGCCCAACGCCTGAGCCACCCGGGCGTCCCCAGGGGTCCTGTTAAATCATCAGGATTCTGTCTTTCTCCATTTCTTGTCTCCAAAGCATTATACTGGGTTATTTGTTGTGCATCTTTCCTTTCTCGTTAAATCCACATAGACAACTGAGGGTCAGTCCTGCCAGGGACCCTTGAGAGAGAGCATAGAACCTGCTCCTCACAGTTGTCTCACCTGAGGGGAGGGAGGTGGGTGTTTGTTCTCCAGGTCCTGCATGTCGCTGGGGGAGGGCTGTTCCCAGGGGCGCCCACTCTTCAGCATTTCTGGCCTGGCCATGTGTGAACTGAGACAGCCCTGAGGCAGGAAGAAGTGTGCACAGGAATGTGTCAGGACCAAGGGGATGTGGGCAAGGCACTGACCTCATCTGCCTTTGTCCCATTTTTCAGATGGAGAAATTGAGGTTCAGAGAGCGTAAGACACTGGCTGAAGGCCACAGAGAGGATGTACAGCAGAGCTAAGACCATAATTTGGCTCATGTCTGAATCCAGACATGAGGCTCTTTACGCTGTGGTTGCAGGGGAATACCTGGGCCAGATCCCGCGGTGTCCACATGGCATCGAGAAGATCAGCCCCACCCAGGTGAGCTGAGCCTCCCAAGCCCATGCGTCTCCACAGGGATCATTCCAGTGCGCTCCAGGTCCAGGGCTCCCAACCCCACACTTCCAAGTGCTCACACAGAATGGAGCTCAGCCCTCCTTCCATGTCCCAGAAGAGGTTCCCGAGCTCAGCACTAAACCCTGGGGGCTCCCCGCAGACTGTCTCCATTGTTCAGCCCCATTCTTTCCTTCTCTGGGCCATTTCTTGTTTGTTTGTTTGTTTGTTTTTAAATATTTTATTTATTTATTTATTTATTTGACAGAGAGAGAGAGAGAGAGCAAAAGCAGGGGGAATGGCAGGCAGAGGGAGAGGGAGAAGCAGGCTCCCCACTAAGCAAGGAGCCCGAGGCGGGGCTCGATTCCAGGACCCTGGGATCAGGACCTGAGCCGAAGGCAGACGCCTAACCAACTGAGCCACCCAGGCGCCCCCTCTGGGCCATTTCTCACTGCGGAACTGCAGCCACCCCTGGGACTCCTTCCCTTCTGGGCTTCACACACACACACACACACACACACACACACACCATGGACACACAGTCACCCAGGGACACCATACCAGGATACGTGGTCCAGGCACAACATCACACTGGGACAGAATGGTGTTATTCAGAACCAGCACACAAAAGCACATGCAACACACAGCCCGATACAGTGGACCCAACACACACAGACCCCCCGATACAAAAAAATGCACAAAACCCACAATCCGGGCACACGGCTCGCACACACAGATCCCCAGTGTGGACACGTAGTTCACATATCAGCACAGCATGAAGACAAACAGCGCAAACACAGCGTTCCGTATGGCCATCTGTAAAACAGCACATAGTTCATACGGGAACACGTACACCAGCCTACAAGACAGTCACACACGAGAGGCAGGCAGTTCCTACCCAAGCACATGAAAGAAAAACACAGTTTGTACAAGAAACACCCAGAGACCTGCGAATCAGACCCAGTCACACACACAGATGCACGTTACAAGGCATACAGTTCTCACACACACAGAGACCCACAGGGACCCACAGACACTCTCTGACACGCAAAGCCCAGGCCAGGGCAGCGTGGGAATGAGGTTGTGAGAAGGGAGAGGTGGACAGAATGACTAAGGAGGCCTCTCTGGGGGAAGGAGGGGGGAGAAGGAGGGCGGGTGGGCCTGCATCCAGCACATGTGGTTCCCATTACTGGCCTGGGAATTGAGGGATGAGTTGGCGGGACAAGGAGACCCAGCATCGCTTCCCAGCCCTGCCAA